TTTTTTTTTCAAAGGTTTATTTTCAACCCTCAGCTCATCCACCCTGGAAGACCGCTTCCCTTATCTCTGTCCCTGCAGGGGGCAGCACGGAGAGTGTTGAAGCTGACCTCACACCTACTGTACACACACACACACACACACACACACACACACAGTTAAATCTAGCTTTTTTTTGACGTGTTCTTTAAAAGTGCTAGCACAAAAAACCCGGTGTCAGAGATCCAGCCTCCTCGTCCTGTCGTCCCTCGGACGGAACCGCTGACGGGAAGAAATACTTTCTGTCATCCCATGAATCATCACTTCCTCCAGGTCCAAACAACACAGTCAGGGCATTGTTGCAACCACTTTATTCTATTGTTAAACCTCTAATTAAAGGTGTTGGCCACACTTCAGCGTGTTGATGACACCTGTGCACACGACAGCTGAATCACTGGCTGCGAGGCTCTGACGAGGCCGCTCACATCCTTTGAAGGAATTTATTATTTTAAGGCCATTGTATCTCAGACGCCGCATGCTGACGGATAATTGTGCACCTGCCTGCCACCTGGGCGGCTTCCTGCACCGATCTCACATGTTCATAAATAATATTCTCGGCGTAATATTATTTCTTTGATTCTGAAGGCACAGGATGCAACTGACGTCCACGGTCGCCGCACGCCAAACCTCTGATCTCATTATCTTGTTCGTTTTCAGGCAACAAGATAGAAACCGAGATGCACTGAGATCAGTCGGACATGCTCACGACGACAGCGCTTACGTGTATCTGCACACAGTTTACACAGCATGAACAACAAAGGGAGGCAAACTCACGAGCAAACACAACAATGGAGCCACCCATCTGCCAGAGTGCACAGCGACAGGCTGCTGTTTCATGCGTGGTGATGGTAATGCCACCGGACGACACCATAAACTGGCTGGGAAAAAAAAACGGTCCTCCTTACCCCCTGAGCCCCACGCGCTGTTGGCGTTACCATTTCTCATACCTCGACTTCGGCGGCGACTGCGGTTTGGGTCGGTGTAAAAGGCCAGCTGAGGCTCGCTGTCTGCCTCCGTTCCAGAGTCTCCGTCTGGGTTCAAGAAAGTTGAACCCGCTGTTGGATTCACACACACAGAAATACACCTCCATTGAAATAACTCATGACCCACAGCCAGACTGGGGGGCGGGGGTCCAGGGAGGACACAGGTCAGTCTTAGATGGAGACCTCTGAAGACTGAAAACCAAAGGCGTCTTATGATTGGTTGAAGCTAAAAGTCATTGACAAATTATTTAATAATCACAAGCTAGCGTGACGTGCACCTGGTCCTTTCCTATAAATAGTGCAAAAAAATAAAAAATAAATTTCACCGTTCATCATCGTCCTTTCCTATAAATAGTGCAAAAAAAGAGAAATAAATTTCACCGTTAATCAGCCTGTAATCTAGAGTTATCGTTTTATATCCTGTTAGAACTCCTTAACTCCGACATGATTCACCAAATCAAAGTCACTTTTCCCAAAGTAAAAAAGACGAGCGACTCAAATCCACCCAGACCGTTGTGTTTTTGTCTTTTTGATATAAATATAATTCACTCTGAAGTGTTTACTATTCACTTCAAATCCTACAGGATTGCCTTTCAAGCCGACCCTTCTATACTTCAATACTACTTTCTACCATTTCACAGAGGAACCTGCAGCCTTTATCTCAGTGGCTAACAGTCAAAGAAACTGTTTTTAACTTTAACTGCTACATTAGTCAGCGAGTAACAACTGTGTGATATCAAGAAAATAGTCCAACATTTTGATTTTATTCTCCTAATTTTATAGAATTTAAATACCAGACTATAAACCATTATTATATTACAATAATATGACAGTAATGACCAGACACTTTACTGTTAGAATAAAAACACTGTGTCAAAACAACTTGGTTTTTTTACAGTGTAAAGCACTGTGTCAAAACAACTTGGTTTTTTTTACAGTGTAAAGAGTCAGTAAGTAGCCTGACAGCTAACACCACAGTAACTGTAACTGCAGGTACTGCATGTTTGCTGTATGTTGTGTGTACCTACTGCACAGTACATGGTCAGGTCAACACCCACGCAGTAATACTAGGATAATAAATCCTCTCTGGTTCAGTGCCAGCGTCTTCAGTCCAGGAAGAGAACCTGCTCGTCCAGCCTTTACAGCTGAAGAGGGCAATTAAGGTAAAGTCTGGTTGGACTGACTGCTCTGGGCTGCAGGGGGGGCTGTGCAGGCCAGATGGTAATAGAGGCATCACTTATGTAAATATCCTGACTTCCTAACAGCATGACCACAGTGTAGCTGCCAACAAATGCAACATGGAGACAAATACCAAACATTAAGCACTGTAGTAGTCAAATACTTCTGGTCCAGGAAGAAACACAAACTGGGGGTGAATAATGAAGTACTTGGTACAGTATTTAAGGTTATGGGTTTTGTTTTTCACAGTGTTCCTACTGTTTAGCAGCAAAATCATCCCGTCGTTAGAACAACGGACGAAACGGTAACAAGGTACACGACTATACTTCACTCCTTATACTGGATCAGTACTGAAGGTGTACTTCACTTATGAAGTTTTTCTGTGTTTTTATGAAGACTGTCTCTTAGCAGATTCACTGACCCTAAACCAGTCCAGCAGTGACCCAGTGACCCCGTGACCTCCAGGTCATGGCGGCTCTGAAGGTTCTAGTTCTATCCCAGTTGTACATGTGCAGTAGATATTTGATATGTTTTCTGTTTTAAGAATCATTAAGAAGTATTCAAGTCTAGAAAAGTAATGTGACCTTGTGACCTGGAATCTTTCTTCACTGCATGAAAGGTCAAAGTTCAAGCGCATATAAAAGTACATCCAGCTAACGTGAGCAGAAAGTTGCTCTCTTACTTCCAGAAGTGATACTTTACAGCGTAGAAATAATGAGGCTGCGTCCTCATTAAAGGAGAAAGCTGACAAGTTTCAGGTCTATAATGAGCAATTTATCATCAAATGGGAACACGTAAAAAAAAAATAAAATAAAAATACACTGAATAACAACAACACATGTCGACCACGCAGAGACGACACAAAACCCAGGTCAATGAGTCACGCAGTGACAACGGAGAAATCATTATCCTTATTTCTTCTTCTTCTCATAAAGTTCATCTCACTCTGCACGTCCAGACTAAAGACTGCAGTGGAAGTACAGGAGTACTGCACGTTACAAGGATACCATAGTACACGACAGAAGATGGAGTTCTGTCGAAACTGAGACAGAGTCAAAACAATGGGTTTCATCTGACGAAGTGATCGTTCTTCTGCTGCTGAACGATAAGAGGTTGAGTTCAGAACGGAAAGAAAGTCAAAAGTTAAGACGAGACTCAGTTGATCCAGTGGATCACAGCGAAGCCTCGGTGTCATACGTCTGAAGACCTTTTCTCCAGATAAATCCAGTCCATTAGCCCGGTGCCTCCTCCCTGCTCATCCAACACCTGCTCTTTTGTCTTCAAAGTCACCTGCCTCCCTATCTGCCCCAGCATCCTGCCCTCCTCGGTGCCAGGAGCAGCAGCCAGCTCTCCATCCTCCCCGCC